ATTCCGGAAACTTCTGTATAGGAACTTTTTGTATTATTTTTAGCCGACCATACCAATAGGTAAATACAAATAGGTATATACAAAAATATAAAAATATTTTCATGGTGTCTGTCTGTCTGTCTGTCTGTCCGTCTGTCCGTCTGTCCGTCTGTCCGTCTGTCCGTCTGTCCGTCTGTCCGTCTGTCCGTCTGTCCGTCTGTCCGTCTGTCCGTCTGTCCGTCTGTCCGTCTGTCCGTCTGTCCGTCTGTCCGTCTGTCCGTCTGTCCGTCTGTCCGTCTGTCCGTCTGTACGTCTGTCCGTCTGCCGTCTGTAACACGATAACTCAAAAACCTCTGAACCGATTTTAACCAAATTTGGCACAAAAATACTGTGGCACCCGAGAATCTGGCCATTAGTTTTTGGTGGGGGTGGGGGATTGGTAAGGGGGTATGGGAGGGGGTTAAAAATTAAAAAAAATCGTAACTCCAAAATTACAGTAGCTAGCGAAACGCGGTTTTCAATTTAAGATTAGGAATAATATTTGCAACAAAATTTGTAATAACATCAAAATCAGTCAAAGTCGCAGTTTTTGAGAGAATTGAAACTAAAAGAACTGCCCACCAACTTTTTATTAACATATTTTAGTATAGGCGGCTATACGTGCCTCCCGGCGCCAATTTTTTTACTTCTGTCTTGCTCTAAAGTCTTTAATTTTCTGACAAAACTAAAACCACGTCCTTTAGATTTTTTTTCACGTGTCCCATCTGATTTTTAAATGGAATTTTATAATTCAAAACCGCACGTTATATTCCTAAAAGAATGCTTTATGTAAACGAGAAATTAAATTAAAAAGGGCTAACCTTCCGTCATACTCGTTACGTAGACACATGGGAAAATACAATATGAATGAATATTTTTTAAAGGTACGACCTAAAGTGATTATAAAATTTTATTAAAGCAAAATGCTATTTTTTAATGCTTTTATATATTACTGGGAACATAATAATATAATTATTAGCAATTCAATAAATAGCTATTTATGTAACTAGTACCTAAAATGATGTTTTTTAGGACGAATCATTACTGTTTGCGGACGAGGCGTTAGCCGAGTCCGAAATAGTAGATGAGTCCTAAAAAACATAATTTAGGTACGTGTTACATACACTATTATTTTGTCATACGCTTTTTACAGTTTTTTAGAACGCATATTTGCAAATTTTCCATATTTGAAATTATAATGTTTGAAAAAGTTGGCTTATAAATTCATATCTTAGTAACGAGTTTGTTTATTTCATCGCATTTTGACATGTCATTCGAAATTTGTCACAAAATCACACAAATTCATCAACAATTTTAAAATGTTCCAAAATCCGAACATATTGCTAATAAGGCCAAAGAAATCGTGTTGGATTTACTTCCTGTGAAGTCTCGTGCCATTTACCAGAAAGAATATGATGTTTTTAATGAATGGAAAGTCAAAAATGGCGTATTCGTTGTAAATGAAGATGTATTGCTAAATTATTTCCACGAAAAAGTAAGTACCTAGGTACTTACTTTAAACAAATAACTTAGCTTTTGATATTGTTAGTATTTAATAATTTAATTATAAATATATGTATAATTTTATGTGATTTTGTGACAAATTTCGAATGACAAAATAAAACAACCAAATAACGAATTTAGACATTTTAGTCCATAAAGGTTGCCATGACGACCTTTACGGCCTAGGCCGAAAAAGAAACATTTTACGGACTGAAATGAGTCCGTAAAATAGCTGTTTTTGGGAGCGTATGACAAAAATAAATTTATTCGGAAATATTATTTCCGAATAAATTATTTTATTTTTTCGGACACATCCCTCGCATGGTCACAGGAACTTTTTGTTTTATCTTAATTTGTAGAATCACACACAGAAGTTAGATATAGGTTAACATTTTTTTGACACCCTGTATAGCCCAAAGTCAAAGTTAGCAATTATTTATCCATTGATCAGAAACCTTAAAATTTACGTTTAAGTTCAAGTACCAGTTTTTTCAGTGGCACTATGAAAGGGCATATCCATATCTATAAATCTCTATAAAGTCTGCATTATAGAGATTTTTAGCTGACCATACCAACAGGTATAAAAAAAGTTTTTTTAATTTCACTCAAAATGAGTTATTTGGCTCATAAATATGATCTAAATACAAAATATTTTCATGGTGTTCTGTCTGTCTGTCTGTAACACGATAACTTAAAAACCGCTAAACCGATTTTAACCAAATTTGGCACAAAAATACTGTGGCACCCGAGAATCTGGCTATTAGTTTTTGGTGGGGGTGGGGGATTGGTAAGGGGGTATGGGAGGGGGTTAAAAATTTTAAAAAATCGTAACTCCAAAATTACAGTAGCTAGCGAAACGCGGTTTTCAATTTAAGATTAGGAATAATATTTGCAACAAAATTTGTAATAACATCAAAATCAGTCAAAGTCGCAGTTTTCGAGGTATTAACATATTTTAGTATGGGTGGCTATACGTGCCTCCCGACGCCAATTTTTATTTGTAGAATCACCCACCGAAGTTATATAGGTACACAATTTTTTTGACACCCTGTATAGCTGAAAGTCAAAGCTAGCAATAATCTCCATTGATCAGAAACCTTAAAATTTACAATTTTTTTTTCTGTCTTGCTCTAAAGTCTTTAATTTTCTGACAAAACTAGAAACCACGTTCTTTAGATTTTTTTCATGTGTCTCATCTAATTTTTAAATGGAATTTTATAATTCAAAACCGCACGTTATATCCCTACAAGAATGCTTTATGTAAACGGGAAATTAAATTAAAAAAGGGTTAACCTTTTCCGTCATACTCGTGATGTAGCCACATGGGAAAATACAATATGAATGTGTATTTTTAAAGGTAAAGTGATTATAAAATTTTATTAAAGTAAAATGCTATTTTTAATGCTTTTATATATTACTGGGAATATAATAATATAATTATTAACAATTCAATTAAATAAATTTATTCTGAAATATTATATTAAATTTATTGTCGTTTTTAGACAAAGCTTGTTTTTTATCTATTTATTAAACATTGTGGCCAACCTATAGAAAATTTTACTCGATTTGAAATGAATTCTTCGAAAACTTGGTAAAACAAACATTGATTTTATAAAATTTCTATAGAATTTCTATACGTGGTTAAATTTTCTTTACAATAAATCAAATAATGCTTATTGATAATAAAATATATTTTATTTATTTTTTGTATTGGTATATTGTGATTTGAACAAAAGAGTAAAAAAAATATGTAAACTATTTTATTTTAGTAATTTAGCAATCGTATGCCGCAAAAACGCTTTTACATGTTAAAGAAATGTGTATAAATAGTATATTGTTTTATTAGGAGTAAAAATGACACTTTTCGTGGCGAGTCTGTACGTTTGACTACATACTACATACAGGCGAGGCACAAAAAGTCATTTTTACTCCAAATAGAACATGCTATTTTTTTCAAACACCACAAAATATTTTTTAAACAATTTCAAACGTTCCAAATAATTTAAAAATATTTAAAAGTAATACCTTGTATGTAATTATACAGGGTGTTTCAAAACAAATGCGAAAAACTTCAGGGGGTGGTTCCTCGCTAAAAATAAAGGGTAGTTTGCTTTATAAACGTTGGGTCAAAAGTCGACCATTAGGGAGATATCGCGGTACAAAGATGGCGGAAAAATAATGTTTTTATTTTTTATCTTGAAAACTAAAAGATATAGACTAATGACATTTTATGGAAGCATTACTGTTATGAAAACATACATTCCGGGAATTTTTTCATTTTTTTAAAATGAGTGGAAGGGGTTGAAATAAACTACCCCTATCATTCTTGTTAACGAAATTTAAAGAAAAATCTTATCAAACACATGCAAAAAAATTAATTTGGATAGTTTAGTTTGTTTAGAAACTTTTTAATCTCTTCTGTTTTTCTGATAAAACTCACCGATTTGAAATTAAAAAATAAAATGTAAAGCATTGCCTGTCAGGACAAAAAAACATTTTCACATAAAGAAAAAAGGCTTCGGAATAATTAATTGATCGTAAGATAATAACGTATTGCAGTAGAGTAATGTCAGATAAAATAATATTAGAAACATCCTAAAAAGTGACAGCGGCCAACTAGATTTTTTCCTAAAAAAATTACAGCAGCTCACTTGATTCTTTATCTAAAAATGTTTTTTGTCCTGACATGTAATGCTTTACATTTTATTTTTTAATTTCAAATCGGTCAGTTTTATCAAAAAAACACAAGAGACAAAAAAGTTCCTAAATAAACTAAACTATCCAAATTAATTTTGCATGTGTTTGATAAGATTTTTCTTAAATTTTGTTAACAAGAATGATAGGGATAGTTTATTTCAACCCCTTCCACTTATTTTAAAAAAGTGAAGAAATTACCAAAAAGTGTGTTTTCATAACAGTAATGCTTCTATAAAATTTCATTAGTCTATCGCTTTTCGTTTTTAAGATAAAAAATAAAAACATTATTTTTCCGCCATCTTTGTACCACAATATCTCCCTAATGGTTGACTTTTGACCCAATGTTTATAAAGCAAACTAGCCTTTATTTTGAACAAGGAATCAACCCCTGAAGTTTTTCGCATTTGTTTTGAAACACCCTGTATATCGAGAAACTATGATTACGCTCGTTGAATTTGACACTTTATGTCAGTTTAATAATACATTTTTGCACCATATTTCGCATTACTTTTAGGCATTAAAATGACTTTTTTATATTGTATTTTTGTGACGTTTGAAAAAAAAACGAGTTTTTTTGTAAAGTTACAGCAAAAACATTTTAAATATTAAAAAACAATTTTAAAAATGTTTTTTAGTATGGAAAGGCTTGGAAAATATATGTAAAGTACGTCTACTGGATGTGTGTGTATGAAAAGAAAAGAATATGGTAGATTTTGATTCACTATAATTTACTGTTGACTTAAAACTTGTCATTATAATAGAAAAAAAAATGATTTCCTTGCCTGATATCCGTCGTATGTCCACGAACTCCATTTCATGTGACAGCTCTGTAAATCGAATGGAAAATACTCCACGTTTATGTCGCACGAAGATCTGTAGATTCCATGAGAAAGCCACACAACCTCTCCATTGCTAGATACTATGACGTTTGTGTTGATAACTGATGACTGATACTGAGGATCTGCACTGAAAAATATAAAATAATAAAATATTAATTGATAATTATCAAGAATCACATGTTGTTTTTAGCTAAAAGTGATTTTTATTGACTTTTATCTTTAATTTCTTTATAGTTTACGAAGCTCATGCACCAGATCTTGTAAAATTGTTTTTATTACTTTTCTTCGGGCCATTTTGGTTATAATTTGTTTATCTGATATTAATTATCTGAAAAAACATGTCGTTTTTTTGCTAAAAGTGGTTTTAATTGAGTTTTATCTCTAATTTTTTTTATAGTATACAAAGCTGATGCACCAGGTCTTGTAAAATTGTTTCTATGACTGTTCTTCGGGGCATTTTTATTCTAATTTGTTTATTTGATGTCAATTATCAAGAAACACATGCCGTTTTTTGCTAAAAGTGGTTTTTATTGAGTTTTATATCTAATTTTATTTATATTAGACGAAACTGATGCACCAGGTCTCGTAAAATTGTTTCTATTACTTTACTACTGTCTTCTATTCTAGTTTGTTTATCTGATGTCAATTATCAAGAAACACGTCGTTTTTTGCTAAAAGTGGTTTTTATTGAGTTTTATATCTGTTAGCGGCACGCCAATGAATAGGGCCATATCTAGTATGTTATGTGTTTAAACAAGTCCAAGTGGTCGTCTAGCGCAAGCGCAAGCCTCAGGCAGTGAGAGGGCACCTGCGGTACGATAACCACGCGCCTTGTCACTCTTTACATAAACATAATAATTATTTCATAAATTGACAGATTATTAATAATATAATCTAATATCTAACATCAGAAGTGGGATTAACCCGTAATTAAGCGCCCATTGTTAGTTTGTGATTTGTTTTGTGTTGTGAGATCAATTCAGTTTCTGAAAAAAAAAATTCTAAATGGCATTTGGTTTGGTTTGGTTTGGTTTGGCGTTCAAGTGTCACATATTTGTAAAATAATATACAGACCCTTTCTTTGAAAACCAAGTCTACCTAAGGCGTAGAAAACATTTCTTCAAATAAAATGCAGTTGGTGGTACATAAGAATAGTACTATAATATTATATGAAAAAAAAATAGGCGTGGATAAAACCCAGTTATTACATATTATAAATCGATTATATATAATATTATATGATCAGTAATAAAATATAATATATATGATATAAAATAATCCATTTTGAATTGTCTGATGAGTGTTGTAGAAGGCGTGTTACTGGAAGAATTGCGCACGAGATGCATATTCCATGAGTGTATTATATGTGTTTGTAACACGAGCTGTGCGCTGTAATTTAGCTTACAATCATATATAAACTGAGATTTTAATCTAAAAGTTTATTGGATAAAGTCACAGGCGCACGCCTATGTCATTTACTTCATACCGATAACAGCCATTCCTTTCAAGATCCTCGAGATCTTTACCAAAAATACAATATAACTTTGTCTACGAGTTTGTAACACTTGTGTAAAGCCGATGAAATTGTAGACTTGGGGTTGTCAGACGTCCCAAATTTTAATTTGTTCTCAAATGACTTAAAAATGTTCATTTGTCCCTAATTTTATTGGCTAATGTGACGAAACAACTGTATTAGCTAAAATTGGATAAAAATTTTTAAAGATAACATCGCTTTTCCAGATTTTTTTAAATATGTGTATACCGAGACCGGTATACATTCATGTTTTCGAATCAAATGTTTATAAGATATTGTCCATATTGAGCATCCAATGAATTATAATATCATCAAAAAGCCTAATGATAAAAAAAAATAAAGTTCAATAAATGTCATTGACGTGGAGTGCAAGATAAATTACTCCATATTTATATTAGCGGTAGTTTGGAGTCTGGGCATACTAGTGCTGTCTGACATTTCATTTGTTTGAAATTGTCTGGGAGTAGTATTGCTTTCTGACTTGTTATTTGTTTGAAATAGTCTGGGCATACTAGTGCTGGCTGACATTTTATTTGTTTGAAATTGTCTGGGTGTAGTATTGCTTTCTGACTTATAATTTGTTTGAAATAGTCTGGGCATACTAGTGCTGGCTGACATTTCATTTGTTTGAAATTGTCTGGGTGTAGTATTGCTTTCTGACTTGTTATTTGTTTGAAATAGTCTGGGCATACTAGTGCTGGCTGACATTTTATTTGTTTGAAATTGTCTGGGTGTAGTATTGCTTTCTGACTTGTTATTTGTTTGAAATAGTCTGGGCATACTAGTGCTGGCTGACATTTCATTTGTTTGAAATTGTCTGGGTGTAGTATTGCTTTCTGACTTGTTATTTGTTTGAAATAGTCTGGGCATACTAGTGCTGGCTGACATTTTATTTGTTTGAAATTGTCTGGGTGTAGTATTGCTTTCTGACTTGTTATTTGTTTGAAATAGTCTGGGCATACTAGTGCTGGCTGACATTTTATTTGTTTGAAATTGTCTGGGTGTAGTATTGCTTTCTGACTTGTTATTTGTTTGAAATAGTCTGGGCATACTAGTGCTGGCTGACATTTCATTTGTTTGAAATTTTCTGGGTGTAGTATTGCTTTCTGACTTGTTATTTGTTTGAAATAGTCTGGGCATACTAGTGCTGGCTGACATTTCAGTTTGAAATTGTCTGGGTGTAGTATTGCTTTCTGACTTGTTATTTGTAAAGTAGTCTGGGCATCATTTCATGTATTTGAATACTGCCTAGATTTACTATTGCTGGCTAACGTAAATTTGTAAATTAGTCGTGCGTAGTATTGCTGACTGACCTTTCATTTGTTTGAAAGTGCCTGTTTGTACTATTGCTTACCGATTTGTGAATTTGTATGAGTACAGTTTTGCTGTCTGACATTTCACTTACAGAAATTGTCTGGCTGTATTATTAGTTTTTGATTTTAAATTATTTTAATTTGTTAGAGCAGAGTAATGTTTAGAGATATTTTACAAGTTCTATATCTGTTTCTGAATAACACTGTGTTCTGATTATTTATTTTCATTCTATATAATGATAGAGGTTTGAAAATATCTTAGTGTATTTCTAAGAATAGTCAGGATATGGTCGAGCTGAATGGGCCGAGAACGTCCCATTGTCAGGTTGGCCGTGTTAGCGGCACGCCAATGAATAGGGCCATATCTACTATGTTATGTGTATAAACAAGACCAAGTGGTCGTCTAGCGCAAGCGCAAGCCTCAGCCAGTGAGAGGGCACCTGCGGTAAGATAACCACGCGCCTTGTCACTCTTTACATAAACATAACAATTATTTCATAAATTGACAGATTATTAATAATATAATCTAATATCTAACAATATCTAATTTTCTTTATAGTATAGGAAGCTGATGCACCAGGTCTTCTAAAATTATTTCTATTACTTTTCTTCCGGGCATTTTTGTTCTAATTTGTTTATCTGATGTCAATTATCAAGAAACACATGCCGTTTTTTGCTCAAAGTGGTTTTTATTAAGTTTTTTCTCTAATTTTCTTTATAGTACATGAGTTTACTATAAACGGGTTTTAATTGACTGTGCCACAGCCTTGAATTTTTACTCCCAAAGCGCGTAAAGGAGTTTCATGTACTTCGAAGAAGTTACTACTCACTTACTTACTTTAAGTTCTTTTACTTAATAAATCGGAACTTCTACATACTTTCTGAACCACTCATTTAAAGCATAATTAGAACAATAGCATTAAAATTTTACGTAAATTATGTTCCATTTTGAACGTCCCACACAACCCATTAAACTCTTGTAAAACTAAAAAGTTTTATCATTCAAAGTAGAATCTGAAATTTCTCCAAAAACAAAAATTATGCGTTGAACATTCCAAGTTTAAGAAAGAGTAATTTGAGAGTTAAGTTCTCTGTAAATAACGATGATTATTTGGTTCACGTTAGATGAAAGTTATTATTCGATTCAGTTTACTAGCAAAACTGAGTTGTCTGGTTTAATTTCTCTTAAAAAGGTAAGAAAAACATATATAATTATTATAAAAAAGATATTCTACCAATACTTGCAAATCCTTTCCCTTTTTGAGTAGGGTTTAAATCAACATATTTTATTTTCAGAATTTTGAAATAATATTTAAATATTTATTCTAAAAACAAGACCTACAGCAGTCATGCATTTAGATATTAAGTTACTCCAAAATTTTATATTATTATGATTGTAAATATTTTGGATAATTATTTAATGATTAATAAATATTATTGTTATTAAGTGGAACTTATATCTATATTTTCATTTATTATCAATTAAAAACAATAGCATTTTAAATTTCATTCTAGAGTCCCTTGGCTTTATTTTTTTTAACATTAATTTTTAATCAAGGAGCCTTAGAAAAATAGATTAGAAGGTCCAATGTTTCTCGTGTATCCTGGTCGGTTAAGAAACCCAAATTGTATTTTTAATCTTATCTCAATTTTTTCAAATACAACTATCGTGGATCATTAGAATATTTGGAGAAAGCATTTTTTTACGAATAATTTTGTACCACACACTTGGTATTTCGAGTTAAATTGTCGTTATGAACCACATGTTACAATTTCAAATAAATCACATGCGAAAATGTCAAATGTTGACAAATGACATGTCATTCTATTGGGAGTGTTATTTTCTATCGAATAAAGTAAAAAAATACAGAGGCTGTCGTTTAACAATCATATTTTGTAGTCATTTTCGGTGAAACAGGAAGTGATCGAAAAAAATTGAATACGTCAATCAATCCTTATTTATGTCATGTACTAACATATCAAATCTCGTTTTTTTATGTGAAAAATAAAAAAGTTATAAAGGTGGGCCACTTTTAAGAAACACCCGGTATTACCTTTATGAATTAGAGTTTATAGCGATTTGAGAGTAAGATAAAACAAATTTCTACTAAATATAATTATTTAAAATACCAAATAGATAATTTGAATTGTATTCTTTTTTATCATAATACATTTGTACATGATTATCATGTATTAAAAAAATAGTTTTATTTCATTTTAATCTAACTTGGCTATATGTCTCGAAAAAATTCAATTTCAGTCAAAACTGCTAGAAATTCT